GGAAGGCCCTCACCATTCTAATTGCAGGGGCCAAGCTATAATCCATTACCATGAATAATTTCTTCTGGAGAGGGCCTATATAGTAAACCAGACTATCAGGACTCTAGCCAGCTTTATGTTATGTTTTTGGTGATTTAAGGAATTCTGTTACAACAGATGACATTTTTGAAAGTGGAAATGTGCATACATGGAACCAAAGTCTCAACTCCATGAGTAGTTTTTAATTGGCAGAGGTGCAAATTCTTCTCAAGCATTTAAGCATGGAGATTTTTAGTAAGATTTTCAATTAATAAAAAATCTGAAAACTCCTTCTTCACAGAGTAACTTTAATAGGTACCTAAACTAGCTAAAAGATTGAGCTCTGTGTTGACACATTTGGAGAATAATGTGGCAGTTGTTATGTTCAAATGTGGATTTGGATCCCAGCTTGAACAGACAGGAAACAACTGTTTTAAAATCTCTTTTCTCTGTGTAGGTTTAGGTGCAGTCATCTTGTATTTGAGTCGTGCTGTGGATTTTCATGTGTTACAACAACCAGGTGAATATGCTGCTGTGGTTCAGTATCAGTAGGAAGTAATATGTAGTTTAGTTAGCAAGATAGCATTGCGTCACACTAGACATCACTTTAGTGATTGACAGTTTTACAAGGAAAATGGAATTACTTGAACATGGCCACTTGGATTAAAATATCTTTTACAATCTCTCTGTTCCTTTGGAACTGACGACAAACCTAGAGAAGAAGCATCCTAAAACAAGCTGACCCAAAAATCACATTCTTCTAGTTCTCACTTTGTAGAGTAGGCGCAATTCAAATATGGTAGAATATGTGTTGACTTGGGGATTTGTTAACAAAATTGAAAAACAAGCAAATTATAAAATGGTATTATGTAATAGATAACTTTTTTTTTTTTTTGAGACAGAGTTTCACTCTTGTTACTCAGGCTGAAGTGCAATGGCACCATCTCGGCTCACGGCAACCTCCACCACCTGAGTTCAGGCAATTCTCCTGCCTCAGCCTCCTGAGTAGCTGGGATTACAGGCACATGCCACCATGCCCAGCTAATTTTTTGTATTTTTAGTAGAGACGGGGTTTCACCATGTTGACCAGGATGGTCTCAATCTCTTGACCTCATGATCCACCCACCTCGGCCTCCAAAATGCTAGGATTACAGGCGTGAGCCACTGCGCCCGGCCAAGATAACATTTGTATGGCTATTTCAGTGGTCTCATTGGTTCCTCCTCCTGGGATGGCAGCTGATCCTAGGCATGCTCTCATAGTGATACAGAAACACAGAAGCCCAGGCCAACCTCTAGACTTAGAACCACGACATCATCCCTTTTGCCTTATTCTTTGGACCAAAGCACATCATGGCAAGCTGAGAGTCAAGGGGCATAGATACAGCCTCAAATATGTTTCCGTGTACTTTCTTTTTTTATTTCTTCCCTTCCTTCTTCATATGCCAGCCAAACTTGGAAAGATCTTTAAAAATGAGGCTCTTGCAAGACTAATGACTAGATCAGGGAAGGATCAGGCTGAAACATCCTTTAGGTGAACCAGATCTAGTGCTTTGCCTCCTGCATTTTGGGAACGTGATGATGTATATGAGACCACTACTAAAATGCAACATGCAACCTGTATGAAAGACACACGGATACCACACCAGGCTAGTGGACAGTTCTGTGGTTGTTACTGTTTTATTCTCATAGAGAGGAGCTGTTTAGTTTACTTAACAGATCAACAAATTCTCAAACTGAATTCTATCCTAATATTCCTCCTAAGTTTATCCTGTAGGTATGTCGGACCACTTTCTTACTCATTTCTTAACAGAGAGGAAGAAGAGCTGCTCATAATACTCTCTGTACTTAATTTGACATGATAAATTTTTTTCAAGATGAAGAATTTTTTAAGATGAAGAAAAAGTAAGTCCATAAAACTATAGAAAAGGTGAGCAAATAACTGTATAAATCAGGGCAGGGAAGCCGTTTCTAAATAACTTAATGTCAAAGGCAGGAGCCCTAAAGGAAAAAAAATGTACATTTATTGTTTCTCACTTTAGTATTTGATGCTTGAGTTTTCAGTTCTGTTGATTTTTTTTACCTGTTCTCCATCTTTCAAAATTTTGATTTCTTTTGTCCATTGCCTCTTTTTCTGTTGATAGTTTTGCATTACTTTATTCATTTTTTGCCATTTTGAGTGAGAAACTCGCCAACCCTTGCAAGTCGCCACTAGAAAGTCCAGGAATGGCAAGTACTAGCTAGTGTGGAAGGCAGAGTATTTCACAACAGGAGCAATGTAATATCCAATAAGCATGACCAATACCTTCAAAATCACTAGAAAATAAATGCAAATTTGAAAGAGATTTATATCAGACTGCAAAGGCTGAAAGTATAATATTCAGCTTTTTTTTTTTTTTCATTCATTCATCATATGCCAGAAGCCCAGACAACCCTTTTGAAGAGCTTTTCTGTAAAGGCTCATTTACATTTCTTTCACGGAGAAAGGTGATAGCAAGTAGACAAGAACGTGGGGTTGTGTGGATTGTGAGAATGACCCCATTTCTTCACTCATCTCTATAATTAAGCCTTTTGCCACGTAACTTTGTAGTGTCCTCCCAACATAGCTGGGCTGACCTGCCCCATCCCTGACTCTCAGCTTGCCACGTGACATGCTTTGGCCCAGAGAAAAAGGTGGAAGGGATGATGTCCTGGTTTTAAGCCCACAGGTAGGCCTGAGCTCCTGTGTTTGTGTATCATTGTGAGAACATGGCTCGGCTCACCTGCTTTTCCAGGAGGAGGCAGTGGGACCATGAGATAGCCATAAACATCTTCTCTATTACACTATACCCTTTCATAGTCTGTATTTTGATTTTGTTAACAAATCCCAAAGTCAATAAATATTCTTCTGTAATACATCTTTTGGAGATTCTTGCCACTATACTTCTGGGAAATAAATGAACAAATTATATTTTCTATGTAATATTTTTCTGCTTATTTGCATTAAATTAAAAAAATTCACAAAACAAGAAATACTCTAATGCCTCATAGGTTAGGCAGTGAAATTACTTTTCCAAAATACAATTTCGTCAATTTAAAGTACACTCAGCAATATGCGTGGCTACCTTCACAGAATTCTCTAAAATAACATGAATCTATTACTTTAGAGTTCTGGGACACTAATCCATCTTCAAGTACTATTGTCCTTCGTAAACGATTCCCACAATTTTTTTCATTTGTTAAAAATTAAATTTATTTTGAGATGATTATAGATTTGCATGTAGTTGTAGGAAATACTAAAGAGATTCTGTGTACGCTTATAATTTCTCCCAATAGCAGCATTTTGCAAAACTATAGTACAACCTGGCAACCAGGATATTGACATCATAGCATTCCATTGATCTTATTCAGTTCTCTCCAGTTTTACTTGTACTTATTTGCAAAATAACTTTATAGAGGTTATGGAGTATTCTATTGAATTGATAAATGTATCAAATTTCCTTAAGCAATCCCTTTTGTTGAACATTAGTATGTTTCTAATTTTCAGGCAATAAAGGTTTCATAAACATTTTAATATAAATTTCATTGCTCACATCTGTTTTACAGATGAAATTTCTTCAAGTAGAACTATTCTGTCAAATAAATTACCTATTTCTAATAGTTCTTCTTAAAGAAGGAAAAATTATATTTGGTAGACATTCAATTGTATTTGATAATTAATGTATATTCTTCCCAATATACATTAATATCCCCCAGTTTAAAAAGAAACATTATTGCCCTCTGTATCTATTAGCTGCCATTGCATAATATTCCTCCGTAGTTTTAAACAATAATTGTACACAAACACACATGCATTGATCATCTCAGGCTTCCATAACTAAATACATAGACTGGGTGGCTTAAACAGCAGGAATTTGTTTTCTGTTGCTCTGGAGGTTGGAAGTCTGAGACCAGGGTGTAACTGTGGTTGGGTTCGGGGGAGAGCCTCTTCTAGTTTGTAGATAGTCACCTTCTTGCTGTGTCCTCACGTGAGGGGAAACAGAAGGAGAAAAAGCTCTCTGGTGTCTTTTTTTATAAAGGCACTAATTACATCATGAAAGCCCCCACCCTCAAAACCTTATCTAAACCTATTTATCTCCCAAAAGCCCCATCTCCAAATTCCATCACATTGGAGCTTAGGGCTTCTACTTATAAATCTTTCTGTAGTGCAAAATAGTTTAGTCTATAGCTATACACACACACACACACACACACACACATATATATATAATTTATATTCATATATATTTTTATAGTTGAAAGTCTCCAAGATCATGAACCAAATACTGAATGGTTATTTCTGGGTCCTAGAAGGAGAGCAAATTCTATAACTTTTTTCTTTGTGTTTCTGGTGTTTTTCCAAGTTTTATTTACTGAGCATGTACTATCTTTGTGTTAATAAAATATTAAATTTTTTTAAAGAAAAAGATGTTTTAAATTATGTGGTACAGATGGTCGATATATTTAATAATAAAAGTTGGAATGGCACATAGTTCATCACTAATTGAAGAAAAAGCTGGCCGGGAGCGGTGGCTCAAGCCTGTAATCCCAGCACTTTGGGAGGCCGAGAAAGGTGGATCACGAGGTCAAGAGATCGAGACCATCCCGGTCAACATGGTGAAACCCTGTCTCTACTAAAAATACAAAAAAAAAAAAAAAATAGCTGGACATGGTGACATGTTCTGTAATCCCAGTACTCAGGAGGCTGCGGTAGGAGAATTGCCTGAACCCAGGAAGCGGAGGTTGCGGTGAGCGGCGATCCCGCCATTGCACTACAGCCTGGGTAACAAGAGTGAAACTCCATCTCAAAAAAGAAAAAAAAAGAAAGAAAAAGCTTTAGATTATGCAGTTCTTTAAACAGACTAACTTAAAACGAATGAAATTCCCTTATCCATCATGATAGTAGCTGTAACTCTTCTCTTACTGTCTTTCAAAATAATGATCAATGGCTGACTCTATTTTCCACTAGTGTTCTATTTATTAACTTACATTATAAAATTGCTTTTTTTCTTTTGTGAATGCAGAGCTTACTTCTTCATGTTTTATCCCTAGGGCTCCAAGGTGACGTCAGAGTGAGATCTTTTTCTTAGTCTCAGATATTATTAAAAAGATGCTGTGGGAGGGTTGATGGAAGCACACACTATCACAGCTCCTCCTCTTCTTTTCCTACTGATGAAATCTGGCAGGAGAAAAAAGCAACAACAACAAAAATTAAAGGACCCCTGAACAAAGTGAAAGTACATAGAGGGAAAGTTGGGATAGTGAAAGGGTAGAGAGGGATGGAGAAAGAATCAATTGCCTTGAAAATGATAGAGGAGATTCTGTGAACCGGGCTGCACCGGGTGGTTGCTGCAGTAAGGAATGCTCTCCACATCCGACAGCGCATGCCTCACTCGCTCACCCATCGCATCAGGGTGAGCTCTGCTATCAGCATCACTCAGGAGCCCAAACTGCAGGAGCAGCTACCATTTCAAATGTCACTGGTCGCCACAATAAAGGGAAAAAGAGAGCGATTCTGAGGGTCCCACGCCAGCAATTAAATGCTTTGGTCTAGAAGTGATAAACATCATTTCTGCTTGTAACCTACATTGCCTCAAACTATTTATATGATCCCGCAACAAAGGGCAGAGGGCCTTCCTATCACAAGTCTTCAAGACCTGGAAATACTTTGCAAACAGCACTACCATCAACAGCCCATGGGCTGGGCTCACTATGTATGTAAGCCAAAGTCAGTTGACCACATGCCCAGCTCCCCCATTTGTAATGTCTTTGAGTCTCTGCCTGGTGCTAGCAGTGAGCTACCTTGCTTCCACGGGCCACAAGTATGTAGGGTATGCAAAGGAAAGCCCGCTGACCCAAAGAGAAGGGAATCTAGGTCCCAATCTCCACCATCCAGCCATATGGTCATAGGCTATGATTTCCTCATTGACAAAATTAGGAAATCCCTAAAATCTCTTTCTGGTCTAATCTGCTTTGATCCTTAGTGATAGGCACTTGTGCACCAGTTTGCCAGATTGTAGGAGGACGAGAGGCTGTGCTCTGCTTAAGATCTGAGGTTTGGTTTCTCCCTCTGTTAGTCAAGACAGGCTCTGTGTGCATGGAGCTCCTGCCCAGCTCTGCCTCAGGTCCAAGCCTAGATAGCAGCTGCTCCACCCCCAAGGCTTGTACCTACAAAGGAATTTGCTGTCCATGAGATTCAGAATGAAAAGTCAGCCCATGTAACATAATTTAATGTTTTTGTCCAGAGCTAATAGATTTTAAAAATCAACAAAGAGAAGACAGGAAATCAAGCAGTGGTCAGGAGCAGGAAGGGGAAGGAGATGCTGTGTCCACCTAGAGCCATGGTTCAGCTGTTGGATTGATCACACTAGACTGTTAAACTGAACAGAGTTTGACAAAGTGTTTCTATTCTGTTTTCTGTACTACATCAACCAGTGGATTTTTTTCTTTTAGTTTCACTAAGTCAAACAATTATTTTGCCAGTTTGGAAGGTAGTCTATGACTATTAACAAGTAACCCTAATCATGAAGATATTGCTCTAGACTTAAATGGCTTTTGGTGGTTTGGATTGGAAATACCTTATTTTTTTCATTTACTTGTCATCTATTTTTGTAGCATTTTTGCAGCATCATTTGCATACAGCTAAGCATTATGTCAGGTCAAAGGATACAAAGATCAGTGCAGTGTCATTCCTTCGAAGGACCTATCACTGACTTGGCAGAGAAGTGACAGTGAAAATCACAGTCAGCAAACTGCATGATTGCTTTTCCTACTCCTGTCCTGTGACCTTAGGACACTTAGGTGACATGGCCTTGCCAACCTCTGGGTGCCATTAGACTCATGAGATTCCTCAGCCGGCCCTCTCCACCTCAGCACTTTGTAGATTTGCCTCCTTTGTCCACCCCCCAGGGCAACATGTCCATTCCTTTTGCTGTTTCTCTAGCTCCCCAACCCACCCCTCCTCAGCTGACAGTTGACTTCTCCAACTTCAGCAGCTTCTACCCAAATCCCCCTGAGAACCAGCCTGCAGCAGCCACCTGACTTTCCCCCTCCTCCTTTTATGGAGCACAGGCTTCCATTTAACCAGAAAGACATGTTTTTTAACTTAAATTTCCCTTGGAAATGCACAGGGGTTTAAATTAAGGGTAAATGTTGCATTTTCAAATCACAAAAGTTTTCACCAAAATTCACAGTGTTTGAAAAAATAGGTCTAGACACTTTGTGAAAGGCAGTGAAATTTGTGGATCGCATGGGAGGTCTTTTCATGTGTGAGCATCATCGTTCTGAGAGCCCACTGGTTGGGCCTTTTATTTCTCCAGGCATGGGTGCACCTCAGGGGTGGGCTGAGTACCTATGAGTCTAGGTGGCAGTTTCTAATTAGGGCTGTGACCTTGACCATGCCCCCTACCTTCCTGGGTCTCAGGAAGTGAAGATGGAACCAGCTTCACTCATAACTGAGGCTGCAGACTTCATGTCTCTAGGCTTACTGAGCTTCTTAATCTTTTTCTTATCAGCAAGAGACAAGAGGAAAGTGGGGCATGGGGAAGTTGAAATTATTTATATCCTCAATTTTATATGTTTTTCTGGGCAATGTTTTGAGTATTGTACATACCGTACATCTGCTAGAGATGCCCAGCAATGTGAGACAAAACTCATAGCAGGCAATGGAATAAAGAGCCACCTCCTCTGAGCTATAGAATCATTGCTGTGCTGATGACCTCCATGAGGTCTATGACTTTTTTGTCCGTCGTATGTCCTAAGTGTTACCCAAAAAAGATAAGAAGTTCTGAACACCCTTGCATACGTGTGTGTGTGTGAGCGAGGAGGTGTCCGAATGTATGAAGATGCAGAGATTGAGAAATCATCTTGTGATATTCACAAACATAAGGTCTACGTATTTTTTTTCTCTCTGTTTTTAGTAAGCATGTGTGCATGCGTATGTGGGTGAAGACTAAAGAATTAACAAAAGCTCCAACAAAATATTAATTTCTTTAGTGAATGTGAAGGTAATCCAGGATGAGACCTGATTTCACATCTGTATGCAACCACAATATTTTCTCTGCCACTGAGTTGTTTATCTGGGAGGTAGGGGTCATTAACACCCAGCTGGTTTGAGGTTCCACACCTGTGAAGGGCTGCTCCCATCATTCTTATCTGACTCACATAAGAAGCTACATTCCCCCAAGGCCTGGGCTCTCTGTGATTCTCAAGGAATCTTGAGAAGAAGCTACTGGGAATACCTACAGGGTTCTTGTGTTTGTTGGTCTGAGTTCCCTGGGCCAGTCCTCTTTCGCTTCCCTGAAGAGATTCTGAGCTATCCTCCTGGCTTTTCTCAGACTCTATGCTGATCCCCACTACACTTTAAAGTGTAGAGCAGAGCCACACACTGCTGTGGCTTCAGGTTATTCTGCACAAACACTCAGCATCAAAGGCAGGCAAGCTGGCTCCCCAGCCTCCACCCTCTTCCAGAATGAGACATCTCTCTGCTTCTCCCCTGTGGACGTTGGCTCACTGAGTGTAAGTCACCTGGGAATCTGTGAAAATAAAGTTCCTTTCTCAGTAGATCCAGGGTGGTGCCTGATAATTTACATTTCTAACAGGCTTGCAGGTGAGAAATGTGCAGTCCTGATTGGGTCGACACTTTGAGAGCAAGACTTTGAAGTGCACCTCAGCCTGCAGCTGTTCATACCTGGCAGGGTCACCTTCTTGGCCTCTGGGTCCAGCCCTGGCCACAGGAAACCTCTCAGAAGATGGGAAGAAGCTAGCCCTGATGTTTTAAAGGAATCACATGAGGTTGGGCTTTAGTGGGGTCAGGGATAGGTGTCTGCAGCTTTTTCCAATTACAGATAAGAAACGAGTTATTTTAAAGACAAATAAGAAATGTAATAGACTAACATTGCAGTTCCCTACATATATTCTAAGAAATATTCGTCCTATATGATGTTAATAGAAGTTATGTGCAAATGGGATCTCTATGCCCAAATGACTTCTAGAATTTAAAGTCTAAACACAAGGTTAAACAAAGTTTAATAGGTTTTTTACTGCACAACTTTTCAGAAGCTTTAATAAGTGAATGTATATTATAGCTCTCCAAGAAGGACATAAAGTATGCTACACTCCCCAAAAGTATTCTCCCAGGAAATCTCAATTTTTTTTCAGTGAGGTTAATAGAAATAAAGCTCCATGGGGAAGGGTCAAGCTCTTTGGGAAAGTGTATCATAGGCACCCACCAAGAATCAACTTCATCAGCCTTTCTCAGCTCTTCTTTTTTGCCTGCCGCAAAGATTACAGAACAGAAGGGTTGGTTTTCTCAGATTCATTTGTGATAACTTAGTCATTGTAAGGATGTTCACTAGTCCATCGATTCTTTTTCTTTCTAAATGTTACACATTTCTTTCAAATGCTAAGCCTGGAATATGAAAATCATATCATCTCACCTGTTCATTTGCACACTATACTCACCACTGAAAGGTATTCCTTTACCACTGTCTCCCCTCCTTAATATACAGTTGACCCTTTACAGGGCTGAGGGTCGGGGCAATGACACCCACACCTGCACAGTTGAAAATCCTTGTATAACTTTTTTTTCAGAATCCTGTCAGATGCATTTATTTATTCATCTGGTTTTTTTTTTCAGGGGCACATGTGTAGGTTTGTTACAAAGGTACATTGGTGTCATGGGTTTGGTGTACAAATTACTTAATCACCCAGGTGTTAAAATAAGCATAGAACTCCACAGGTAGTTTTCTGATCCTCACCCTCCTCCCAGCCTCCACCCTCAAATAGGCTGAAGTGTCTGTTATTCCCTTCTCTGTGTCCATGTGTACTCAGTGCTTAGCTCCCACTTACAAGAAAGAACATGCAGTATTTTGTTTTCTGTTCCTTTGTTAGTTCACTTAGAATAGTGATCTCCAGCTCCATGCATGCTGCTGCAAATGACATGATCTTATTCTTTTTCATGGCTGCATAGTATTCCATGGTGTATATATACCACGTTTTCCTTATTCAGCCTGCTGTTGATGGGCACCTAGGTTGATCCGATGTCTTTGCTATTATGAAGAGTACTGCAATGATCATTTGCATGAATGTGTCTTTATGGTAGAACGATTTCTATTCCTTTGGGTATTTACCTAATAATGGGATTGCTGGATCAAACGGTAGTTCTAAGTTTTTTGAGAAATTACCCAACTGCTTTCCACAGTGGCTGAACTAATTTATAATACAGTGTGTGAGCAGTGTATAATTGTTACCTTTTCTCTGCAGCCTTGCTAGCATCTGTTGTTTTTTGGCTTCTTAATAATAACCTCTGACTGTTGTGAAGTGGTATCACATTGTGGTTTTGATTTGCATTTCTTTAGTGATGTTGAGCATTTTTTCATATGCTTATTGGCTGCATGTATGTCTTCTTTTGAAAACTGTCTGTTCATGTCCTGTGCCTACTTTTTTTTAAAATTATACTTTATGTTCTGGAGCACATGTGCGGATCTTGCGGGATTGTTACATAGATATACACATGCCATGTTGGTTCACTGCCTCCATCCTCCCGTCACCTACATGAGGTATTTCTCCAATGTTATCCCTCCCTATTCTCCCCACTCCCCACTATGCCTCCCCTAGCCTCCCACCCCCCAAAAGACCCCAGTGTGTGATGTTCCCCTCCCTGTGTCCATGTGTTCTCATTGTTCAATACCCACCTATGAGTGAGAACATGCAGTGTTTGGTTTTCTGTTCTTGTGTCAGTTTGCTGAGAATGATGGTTTCCAGATTCATCCATGTCCCTGCAAAGGACACGAACTCATCCTTTCTTATGGCTGCATAGTATTCCATGGTGTATATGTGCCAAATTTTCTTTATCTAGTCTATCATTGATGGGCATTTGGGTTGGTTCCAGGTCTTTGCTATTGTAAACAATGTTAAATGAACATTCGTGTGCATGTGTCTTTAGAGTAGAACGATTTATAATCCTTTGGGTATATAACCAGTAATGTGATTGCTGGGTCAAATGATATTTCTATGTCTAAATCATTGAAAAATTGCCACACTGTCTTCCACAATGGTTGAACTAATTTGCACTCTCAGCAATAGTGTAAAAGTGTTCCTATTTCTCCACATCTTCTCCAGCATCTGTTGTCTCTAGATTTTTTAATGATTGCTATTCTAACTGGCATGAGATGGTATCTCCATGTGGTTTTGATTTGCATTTCTGTAATGACCAGTGATGATGAGTATATTTTCATGTTTGTTGGTAGCATAAATGTCTTTTGAAAAATGTCTGTTCATATCCTTTGCCCACTTCTTGATGGGGTTGTTTGTTTCTTTTCTTATAAATTTGTTTTAGTTCTTTGTAGATTCTGAATAGTAAATGCCCTTTGTTAGATGGGTAGCTTGCAACATTTTTTTCCCATTCTGTTGGGTGCCAGTTCACTCTAGTGATTGTTTCTTTTGCTGTGCAGAAGCTCTTACATTTAATTAGATCCCGTTTGTCTATTTTGGCTTTTGTTGCTTTTGGTGTTTTAGTCATGAAGTTCTTGCCCATGCCTGTGTCCTGAATGGTATCTTTTTAATGGGGTTTTATGTGTCCTATAATTTTGGACTCCCTGAAACTTAACTACTAATAGTCTGTTTTTGAGCAGAAGCCTTCCAGATAATGTAAACAGTTCAATTAACATATATTTAGTATGTTATATGTATTATATACCATATTCTTACAATAGAGTAAGCTAAAAAAAAGGAAATGTTATTAAGAAAATCATAAGGAAGAGAAAATATATTTACTATTCATTGAGTGGAAGTGGATCATCATAAAGGTCTTTATCCTTGTTGTCTTCATGTTGAATAGGCTAAGGAGGAGGAGGCAGAGGAAGGGTTGGTCTTGCTGTCTCAGCGGTTGTAGAGCTGGAAGAGTTGGAAAGGGAGGCAAGATTGGCAGCAGAGTTAATGTAACTTTTACTGAAAAAAGTCTGTAGTTAAGCAGATCTGACCAGCTCAAACCCATGTTGTTCAAGGGTCAACTGTGTAAGTAGCAGGGTTGGGGTGGAAGCAGAGGAAAGGTAGGAAAAAGAGTATTTAAAATGATGATAGTACAATATTTCCCTAATTGCATATCACTTGCAATTAGAAAAGCCAAGCAGATTGATTTGGTTAAATATTTTGAGCAAGCTTAAGAATTTTTCTTTGAGATTCAAGAGTTTTTCTGGACAGATAGTAGAAAAAATGTATGATAAGTGAACTCAAGAGAGCAATGAATGCTTCCTCTAGATTCTGCTCAGGGGTCTCCATCCTGGTGAATATTTCAAGATCATAAAAAACATTGAACATAAAAGTAAAAATACTTCCTAGGGAATCTCCTCTTTTTAAATTCAGACTGTGGCACGCAACTGGAATTTCTGTGACTGTGCTTCAGGCAGGCAGAAGAGGCATTTTACAACTTCAAATCTGTAGGCAGGGTGGAAGCTTCCAGTTCACTCAATGGCTGCATCCCAAAATACTGTTGGTAATCTTAGAGAGAAAAAGATAAAAGAGATGGAGCAGGTGAAGGTGTGTGCTTGTTTGTGTGTAGGTGTGAGGTAAGAGAATAGGGTCTGGAGGCAGGGAATCTAAGGCTGATTCACTGACTTCTAGATCTGAATCAAAAGGAAAAGAAAACCTCACCTCTCCACCCCCAAGTAACAAAAGGATCAGACACTGTGGCACTGCATAGCAGATAAAAAATGAAAAGTACCTCCGATTGGTCCCCTCCTGCAACCAATCAGATGAGTGGTGGCCCAAGTCTTCATGTCTAACTTTGTAAGTTCAGTTCAGCCTCTGATGGTCACCTCCTGCAACCAGACTGGTAGTGAGCCACGTCTTCATTTATGTAGAGTGTAACCAAATAACCAATGGGAAACCTGTAGTGGGTATTTAAACTCGAGAAAATTCTGTCATCAGTGAGTGCTCTTAAGTGGAGTGTACTTTCGTTTCAATAAATCTGCTTTCATTGCTTCATTCTTTCGCTGCTTTGTTTGTGCGTTTTGTCCAATTCATTGTTCAAGATGCCAAAACCTGGACAACTTGTAGTCAAGACCCTCCACCGGCAACATGTGTATGTGTTTTTGAGGTGGTAGGTAGCTGAGACTGAAGATGAGTGGATTTATGAATTGAATAACAATAAATATCCTACTTAAAAATATTAAAAGTTGGAAATCATCTCTTATTGTGATAACACATTTCTCCTCCCTGGGAATCTGTTGGACAGATCGGAGCTGGCAGGGTAGGGCCTGTATTGTTGAAGTTGCCATGGCGACTGCAGGAAGTGAGCTTTCTTCAAAAACCTCACTGGTCCAAGAACAAGCCCAGACAAGTCTACAATTCAGTGACTTACAAGTATTTTCTTATTCTAAAACGTTGCAGTGATAATTGCTAAGAAGTATAAACAAAGGAAAAGGAGGCTGTCTGTTTTTGTCTTTTCTTCCTAATTAATCCCTTTCCTTACATTTTTCTTAATTATCTGCACACCTGAAGGCAAGTCCCTCCCAATTACAAAGCCAATGCCTATTTTCTGAAACAGAAAATTGAAAAAACATTTTTTGCCAACTTGAACATATATTTAAGCCTCTAAGTGAAATAGTTAAAAAGCTACCTATAATATTCCATTTATTAACCTATACATATGTATATTAATTGCATAAAACTGAAAAGAAAATTATATACAGTCATACTTTGGAATATTGCTTTATTCTACTGTGATATTTCATGAAACAATCTGTTCACATGTGTCATGTGTGTCTTAGCTGTCAGCAACTTTGCTGTCACTGATTTTTTTAAACAGTTTAATCACCCTTTCTGATTTTTTTAAAACAGTTTTCCAAAACACACTATCTTATCTGCCACCCACGTTTTTATAACACAGCAATTTTTAAATACAGATGTAATGTTATTAAAGAAAATTGTATCCCAGACCACAAGTATCCATTCCTACAAGCTAGGACAGGTTTTTGGTTTTTTTAAATAATTCATCATCCATGTTTTAGTGATCTCCATCATGTTTCACTTACTGTATTGCTTTTATTTTTTTATTTTCAGTTTTTTAGTTGTAAAAAAAATTTTTTTAATTCCATATATTTTATTTTTTCTTAATTTTACTTTGTTTCTGGGGTACATATGGATAACATGCAGGTTTGTTACATTGTTATACACATGTCATGATGGTTGGCTGCATCCATCACCTTGTCATTTGATGGTATTTCTCCTAATGCTGTCCCTCCACTAGCCCATCACCCCCTGACAGTCCCTGTGTGTGATATTCCCCTCCCTGTGTCCATGTGTTCTCATTGTTCAACTCCCACTTACGAGTGAGAACATGCTTTTGTAAAAAAGCAATGCACACTATGTTATACACTGTTTTGCAGGCATGTACACACTTACTGTGTTACTTTAAAAAAAAAAAAAAGCTTATGTTCGGGCTGGGTGCGGTGGCTCATACCTGTAATCCCAGCACTTTGGAAGGCCGAGGCAGATGAATCACAAGGTCAGGAGTTCAAGACCAGCCTGGCCAACATGCTGAAACCCCATCTCTACTAAAAATGCAAAAAACTAGCTGGGCATGGTGGCAGGTGCCTATAATCCCAGCTACTCAGAAGGCTAGGCAGGAGCATGGCTTGAATCCAGGTAGTGGAGGTTGCAGTGAACGGAGATCGCGCCACTGCACTCCATCCCGAGTGACAGTGCGAGACTTCATCTCAAACAAACAAAAAAAAAAAAGAAAGAAAAGCTAAGAAAAGTTTATGTTATGTTCAATGGCATACAAGACTTGAAAGAATGAGTTAAACTCCCAAAGGAAAGATGATCACACTATATTAAATTTCTTTGATTCCTTTTATTCTTAATTCAAAATAAATTCTGTTAGATGACCTAACAAAATAGCAGTAGTAACAACAACTAACACTTCCTGAGCCTTTATCATTTGCCAAACACTATTGAAACACACTATGCATAGTAACTTATATAAGGGCCTCTTTTGCAAGAGTGCTTCCAGAGTGTGGCAGAGGAGGCTCCCCGAGCAGATATAGCTGTGGACCAGACAAAACATCACTCACTGTGGTGTCCTGAGGGCATCGGATGGTTTCTACTTGTGTGTGCTTTTCTGCTGCTTAATCTGCTGGTTATCAAACACACAAAAGTGTGTATTGCTTTTTTTAAAAAGGCAATCAACTCTCTGTGTGTGTGTGTGTGTGTGTGTGTGTGTGTGTGTGTGTGTGTGTGCGCGTTGACTACCTTTTCTGCTTCTCAAAGGGAAATAGAAGATCTCAACAGCATGCATCATTTTAGATAAGTGGTTCAGCACTGGTCTGCATGTTAGAACCATCTGAGAAGCATTTTAAAAACATTGCTGATGCTCAAGCCTCAACCCAGAGCAAATACATCAGAATTTATTTATGGTGGAGCCAGAGCATCAGTAGATTTCAAAGCTCCTCAGGTGAGCTTTTTAACCACCCTGAGAAAAAATATTTTAGATTATTATGCACCAAATGTCCTCGTCTTTCTCCCTAGATGAACTGAATGTCCTGTATCTACTAGGAAGTTGGGAAATACTAACCATACTCTTTCAATATTCAGCAGCTTTTCAAAAGTTCTGCTTAGAGGAATGCCTGGTGGAATCACAGGTCTTACCTGTAGGCTTAGAATGCATCCAAGTTCTTCTGGACTCATAGCACCACCTGGAGACTGGTGCAGGAGATGTATCTCCCCACGGGCCTCTCCACTCATTAAGGGGTGCACTGAACTCCTCAACTCTGTCCCCCACCTGCCGGCACTCGCACACACATTTCCTGTCTCATATCTCTCAATCTTTAGTTGATCATACTAGAGACGTTCTTCTGATGTAACAATTCTCCTTCTATCATTTTTTCTTCTACTGAAGCCCACATAACACAATAATAATAGTAACTTCCATTTTGACCATGTTAAAATTGTACCAGATCTACTCTTTGTATACTATGGAATTAAATTAGAAATCAATAACGATAAGATAGAAAACCCCCCAAATATTTGGAAATTAAATAAATTTCTAAATATAATTATGGCTCAGAAAAGAAATTACAAGAAAAATTAGAAAATATATGAAACAATGAAAATATTATAAACTATGCATCTGACAAAGGTCTAATGTCCAGTATCTATAAGAAACTTAAACACATTTACAAGAAAAACAAACCTCATTAAAAAGTGGGCAAAGAACATAGACAAACACTGTTCAAAAGAAGACATACATGCTGTCAACAAGTATATGAAAAAAGCCCAATATCACCAATCTTTAGAGAAATGAAAATCAAAACTACAATGAGATACCATCTCACATTAGTTGGAATGATCATTACTAAAAAGTCAAAAAATAACAGAGGCTGGCAAGATTGCAGAGAAAAGGAAATGCTTATACACCATAGCTGGGGGTGTAAATTAGTTCAAGCATTGTGGAAAGCAGTGTGGCTCTTCCTCATATAGCTAAAAACAGGACTGCTGTTCAACCCAGCAATCTCATCACTGTATACCCAAAGGAATATAAATCATTCTATCATGAAGATACATGCACGTGTATGTTGATTACAATATTATTAACAATAGCAAAGATATGGAATCAATCTAAATACCCATCAGTGGTAGCCTGGAGAAAGAAAATGTGGTACATATACATCATAATATTGAATACTATGCAGCCATAGTAAAAGAAAGAAGTCATGTCCTTTTCAGGAACATGGAGGTCATCATCCTTAGCAAATTAATGCAGAAACAGAAAACCAAACACCACATGTTCTCACTTGTAAGTGGCAGCTAAATAATGAGAACACATGGACACAAAGGGGCACAACAGACACTGGGGCCTAATTGAGGGTGGAGGGTGGGAGGAAGGAGAGGAGTAAAGTAAATAACTATTGGGTACTGGGCTTAGTTCCTGGGTGATGAAATAATTTGTAAAGCAAACCCCTGTGACACGAGTTTACCTGTATGACAAATCTGCACATGTACCCCAATCCCAAAATGAAAGTTAAAAAAAGAAAAGAAAGATGTATTTAAATTTGTGAAATGTAGCAAAAGCAATCCCTAGAGAACATTTAAGTTTTTAATGTTTAGATTACCAGAGAAATGATCTAAAATTGGTGGCCAAGATTCTGTTTCAAAAAGAAAGAAAAGAAAACCACAATAATCTCAAAATAAATAAAGGAAATCACTTTAAAAGTAAAGAAATTTAACAAAGCCAATATTTGGAAAATACTCACAAAACTGATAAACACCCAGTTAGACAGAGAAAAAGGAGAAAGCGAGAAGGAGAGAGAACATGAAATAGTAATACCAAGAGTGAAGGAAAGATTGTCACTACAAACCCTACAAATATTAAATGGATGAGAAGTATATACCAGAAATTTAGCAACTTAGTTGAACAAATTCCTGAAAAATACAACTTATGCAAGGTGAAATCTGACACAAGGTGAAACTGAAATCAGAATGGCCCAATAACATGTTTAAAAACAACAATTCGCACAATAAAAACATCAGGATAGTTTTTTGGACAGTTTGACAGGAAAAAAATTTATCCAACATTTAAGCAGTTTGTGGAGTGGGGAACTCCAATCTCATACAAAATCTCTTAGAAAATAGATCACTTCCCCATTTATTTTGTGAGGTCAATAAAACCTTAATATAAAAACCTGTCAAAGACATTTAAAAAGAAAAAACTGCTAGACTGATATCTCTCATGCACATAAAAGCAAAAATATTTAACAAAATATTATCAAATTGAAATAGTCAAAATATAAAAAGATAATACATTATGACCAAAGAGAGTTTATCCTAGGAATTCAAGATTGGTTTAACATGTGAAATTTAACGAGTCACAGGCGTACCTCATTTTATTATGTTTCACCTCATCGTGTTTCACAGATATTAAGGGTTTTTTTTAATACAAAGTTAAGGTTTGTGGCAACCTTGCATCTGCAAGTCTACTGGCACCATTTTTTTTTTTTTTAACAGCATGGGCTTGTTTTGTGTCCCTGTGTACACATTTTGGTAATTCTTCCAATATTTCAAACTTTTTCATTATTATTATA